TCACCAGGATTATTTCTAGCTAAAAGCTGAGCCAGTACCAACTGAAAAACACCGAACTGTTGTTACATGGCAGCAAGCTGAGCTGTCACTACGTCTTGGTTGGCAGTGGAAGTTGAGTTGTGAGCTGAGGCATGAGGTTGGTTTTCATCTCCTCCTTCTGCATGATCAACAGGAGGGAACATAGTTAGGACTTGAGGTGGAAGCTGAGGTGTAAGTTGAGGTGTAAGTTGAGGTGGGATCAGAGGTGGAAGGTTGTTGGGGGGGTTGACCTTGCCCATGAGGCAGAGATGAATTACCAGCTCTGACTGATCGAGTGTGAACCATGATGAAAGAGCAACTAGAAAGCTTTCAGTTCGGGTTCCCACAGACGGCGCCAATGTAATTGCACCAAACTAGAAGTCCTTCTTCAGTCCGCGTCTGTACTCTAGGATGACCTGCAAAGCCCCAAGGTGGAACTCGGGGTAGACACTCCAATGCTTAAGTCAGCAATAATCGGGACTACCTTTAGGGCGGAGATAAAAAGAGCTTAGGGTTGGTTTCAATTACCTTTTGACGCGGCCCGGAGGGGGTATTTATAGGATCCAATGAGGAACCCACGTGGCATGCCAAGCAAGATAATCGGAGCCTGACGTGTCTATCCAGACAATTATTCCGGGATCGGGAATTTGAGAGGTATTCAGATGCACGGACGTTTACTATACTGCTGTGCAACTCATCATAAGGGATCAAGTGCGGGTATGCTCATTGTCACTGTCATGTAGCTATTTGAGCAAGAAGCTTTGGATTTGTCCTTCACTTCGATCATAAAGGAATTACTGTAGCAGTCCAAGACTTGGCACCTCGGACCTGTCCTTACACTATTCCCCCCCGAAGTCATTCACTTGTGAATAATGTTGTTGGGGAATAATGAGGGGAGTGCATAAACAAAGCGAATTACGGATAAATCATAGAAGTAAAAGGAGGAAATAAAATCTGTAACTTAAATGTAAACCTAGCCGTAGCTAATAATGAAATATGTAACAGTGGGTCATACTGGGGTGCCTTAAATAGAATATGACTGGAGTTAACGTGGCCATAGCCATAATAAAAGATGATGACCTCGGAGTCATAATGTAACCAAGGTCGTGATAAAAAATGATGACTAGAGTCACAAAGGCCAGGGCCGTGATAGGAAATGATGATCGGAGTCATAATGGCCGGAGCCGAGGTAAAGTATGTAACATGTAGTCACAGTGAGTCATTGTGGCTGTAGCCAAAGTGAAACACTATGCCAGTTAAAAAGTATAATTGTAAAAGTAAACAGAAGTGCTGAGCTAGGCTTAAATATGAAGACGGGAGTCATAATGGCCGGAGCCGTAATAAAACATAATGACTGAAGTCATAATGCCGGAGCCATAATAAAATATATTGGCCGAAGCCACAATGGCCGGAGCTATAATAAAATATAATGATCGGAGTCATAATGGCTGGAGCCGAAATAAAGTGTGACACTGGGTCACTGTGGCCGAAGCTGATGTGAAATATGTAATATAGGATCGCTGTGGCCGGAGCCGAAGTGAAACACTTGCAAAAATTGAGAATGTGTATAAGTAAGCGAGAGTGTTGAAATGAGTTTAAGTGGGCCCGTCTGAGAAGTCTGACAAAGGGGTAGTGCGTGGTGTGACAGTTGTCCTTGGAATGACGTACGCAATAAATGCGACCGTAAAAAGATAACTACTATAGTTAAATGGGCAGACTTTAAAAAACGAACCGTCGAGTTCAAAACGGTACCGTGTGGGGTTGGCCGTCAAATTCCAAACGGTGCTAATAGGAACCGTAAGATTAAATGAATCTCAACCGTTGAGATCTAATTTTGCCCAGAAGTATAAATAGGCATTTTTTCTGCAGAAAGAGGTTTACTTGCATTTCTTTTCCTGCAAAACTTCTATTAAAAGCTTTACTGTGCGTTTCTTGCGTGTGAACTGCGGCATCACCTGGGGATCTCTACATCAAGTCTGTCGAAACCGAAATCAGGTAATGTATACGAACTTTTGATTTTGAGTTAATCGAAGTGTCTCTCTCCTTTCTCCCTTTCTGTGATTGATTTGGAGTCCTTCGAAGGAAGTTAGGGTTAGAGGCGAGAAGGATTTTGAATGTGCAACAGAGGGGGGTTTTTTTTTTTTAAAAAAAGGTCCTGACTTCATTCCTCCCCCCTACTTCGTGCAAAGATTAAGAAAATGTCTTCAGAAGAAATAAGAAGTGTAGTAGAGAGTGAGGTGATGCCTCTGGACTATGGGAGCATGGACTCAGAGAGTAGTCAATCTCCATCTAGTTCGGAGAAGACGATGGAGGGGGTGAAAGGAGATGAGGTGGTGGAGGTTGGGGGGAATGAGGTTGTAGAGGTTGGGGGGACAGAGGTGGTAGGGGTTGGGGGAGATAGCATACCCATTACTGTAGTAGAAGTAGAGGGTAGAGGAGAGAGAGATTATGATGTGAATGCAGAGATAGTGGAGAAGGTGAAGCAATATAGATCTGAACTAAAGACCAAGGATAGCCTGGGTCACTTAGTGGAAAATTACGAGATCTCTTCCCGAGTGTTAGTTAGGCCAGCTGGGGTAGAGGAGAGAGCGTGTTCTGCTCCTCGAGATCATTGAATGCCCGTATATTCCCACTATCTGATAGCGGGGTTGAGGTTTCCAATTCCTGAGTTGCTAGTAGGTTTGTTGTTAGATTATAGTATAGGGTTGACACAATTAGTCCTCAACGCTATGAGGGTAATAATAGGATTTTTAGTTTATTGCCGAGCTCAGGGGGTTAATGTGCCAACCGTAAATATGTTTAAGTATTTTTTTGTTTTAAAGGGGGGTAGTATGAGGGATAAGGGGTGGTATTATTTCACCCCTAGGGTAGCTAATAAGGAGAGTAGGTCTTTGTTCACTGCGGGTCCTTCATCCATTAAAGGATGGAAGGAAAAATTCTTTTTTGTAGATGATACGGAGTGGGAGAGGGGGATGACGAGGTGAGGGAGTTAGCATCCTGGAAGGCTAAAAGAGCCAACCAAAATAGGTTTAGCTTGAATGAGGATGAGGAAGAAGAAGTGAGGAAGCTGGTGAGGAAGGGGGGGACTTATTGAACATTTTGGACCTCACCAGCGCACAATGCATAGAAGCTGCTGAGCTCTATGGGCCAAGCGCTTTAAGTGAAGGTTGGTTTAGTTCTGCATTATAGTACTGCATGTAGAGTATAGAACTGTGATTAATATTGTGTGTTCTTGCTTTGTAGCTGAAATGAATCAGTTTTTGAACACTGCTGGAGGAGTGGCCATCCCCAAGAAGCCAAGAAAGAAGTCAAAGACTTCAACCAAGCAAGTGGATGAGGGGAGGGCTAGGAAAGAGGTAGTGCCCACGGCTTCAGCTGAGACGGAGGAGGAGGTGCCATAGTTGAAGAGGAAGGGTTGGGAGGAGAGGAGGGCACTGCTGAAGAAGAAGAAAGTGGTGGAGGAAGAGGAGAGGGGGAATGAGGTTCCTCAGTTCGTATCTCAGCCTCCTCCTGTTGAGCTGAACCCTGAGCTCAGACGGTTGGAGGAGGGAACTGAGGTACGAGCTCCTAGTAAGGGAAAGGGCACTGTTCCCCCAATGGCGTCTCAGAGCAGCCTGTTCGAGGCGAAGAACATGACGGGGGCTAGGTGGTTCATCAACAGCACCTTCCCCGAAGTGGACAAACGCCACGGCGAGATGAGGCTCTGAGGTATGGTGGAGCATCTGTTGTGAAGCACGTTCTTGAGGTACGTTAAATTATTAATGTTGTTTATTTAATCTGTTTCTTCTTCTCTTCTTTCGCTCTTAACGTCTGCTTTGATTTGCAGAGCGCGAGCTAGGTGAATGGTCTAGCCTAGGAGTTCATGGAGAGCATGAAGGAGCGCTCACTCTTGGAGAGGCAGTGTGACCAGCTGCAGAAGGAGAAGGAGGAGCTGGAGAAGAAAAACAAAGAACTGCAAGAGTCACTGAACGAGGTGGTTCCAACTGTGAAACAATTGGAGCAGGAGAGGGCTTCCCTAAGCACCAAGCTCATCTTTGAGGAGAGCAAACGAAGGATCTCTAAAAGCGAGCGTGAGGCTCAGGCGCAAGAAATAAAGCTGATGAAGGAGGCTTTCATGGAGCTGAAGGAGAATGTGCAGACCTTGGTGCACAATGGGATGAAGGAGCACATCAGCAACTTCATCAGCTCCAGCTCGTTTGACAACATCGTCAACTTGTACCGGCTGCCCACTGCCATCATTGCATTCACGGACTGTAGAAAGAAGGTGAAGGCAGAATATCCCGAAGTGGATATTACAAAGATCACCTTCGGCGAGCAAGAAGAAGGAGTGGAGGAAGACGGTGAAAGCATGTCAGCAAACTTCTGTCCTCAGATCAAACTAAGGTGGGAGCATGATGAAAACGGACGTGCTGTTTTCTCTCCACAGTTCGACTTCGAGTTCGTTGCAGTGGAGGAAGAAGGGGCAAAGGTAGAGGAAGACGAAGTGGAGGCAGGAGTGGAGGGAGCTGAAGTGGATGAGAGCCAACCAGTTCCAGAAGTGGAGATTCATTCAGTTCCTTCCGACAATGAGCAGCCTCCTCTGCCAGACGAGCAGCAGCCAACACAGCCACCTCCTCCAGCTGAGCAGGAGCCAGTGGAACCACCTCGTTCAGCAGAGAAATAATTTTGTTTTTTAATTTTTTGTAGAAACATTAAACGATTTGTAATATTGTTATTGCGTTAAATGAAAATTCAGTTTTGAAATTATATATGTGTTTATGTTCGCTTTATATTTTTGTTATTTTTTATGAATAAAAGAACTGAGAGTACTTGAGATGTGATTTGAAAGAAAGCGTACCACTTCAGAGATTAACCAAAGGGAAGTAATTCACTTAAGAAGAAGTAAGCCACTTTATATAAATCAAGAACAAGAGTAACAGTGTGAACGAATTAAAAGGAGATAAAGCACTTCAAATGTGAAGTGACATTTATTAACAGAAGTGAATGAACTGATTGACCTCAGATACATAGAATAAGAGGTAAAATGAATCTTAACAAACACGAAATGAAAAGTGTAAAGTGTAAAGAACAGTAAGACATAGATCACTTGAAAGAATTTTATTAGGGGTAAAATTTCTTCAAGTTATTGACATTCCAGACTCTAGGAACTCTCTTTCCTTCAGCGTCTTGGAGGACATAGGCACCAGGATGTGGCACCTCGGCCACGGCATAAAGGCCTTCCCAATTCGGAGCGAGTTTGCCAAAACGAGTTTCAAACCCTGTTAGGCCAGCTTTTCTGAGAACAAGGTCTCCTACTTTGAATGTTCGAGGGTGGACTAGTTTATTGTAGAAGTTGGCTAGTTTCTGCTTGTATACAAGAGTTCGAAGCGGAGCTTCTTCTCTGACTTCAGCAAGCAGATCAAGGTTTTCCCGAAGCAGTTGTCCATTTCGTCCTTCATCAAAATGGGTGACCCGGAAGCTTGGGACTCCTATTTCAATAGGAATGACTGCTTCGGTACCAAAGGCGAGATGATAGGGTGTTTCACCTATTTCAGTTAATTATAACTTTAGAATGCGCTTTATGCATTATGCATATTTGCTCTAAGGTAAAGCGTAACAAAAGAAGTAAAATAATATAGAAATTAATCAAATAGACTCGGTTTAAAGTAATACCTGTGGCAGTTCGGCTCGTGGTTCTATATGCCCAAAGGATGTTGTTGAGCTCGTTTGCCCATTTGGCCTTATGCTGTTCCAATCTCGGCTTTATACCTTCCAAAATGCATTTGTTAACAAATTCAACCATGCCATTGGACTCCGGATGGTAAACGGAGGTGAACTGTAACTTGATCCCATAACTGGAATAGAAATCTCGGAATGAGGAGCAATTGAATTAAGTTCCATTATCAGCCACAATTTGATTCGGGATCTCGTATCTACAGATGATCGAGCTGAAAACAAAGTCTTCGACCTTCTTAGAGGTAAGACTAGATAAAGGCCGAGCTTCAACCCACTTTGTGAAATAATCCACACCAATAACCAGATGGGTTACACCACCAACCCCTTTCACGAATGGGCCTAAAAGATCCAGCCCCTACTGAGCAAATGGCCATGGTACTAGCAAGTTCGTGAGTTCCTCTGCTGGTTGGTGAGTCAAATGTGCAAAGAATTGGCACCTCGGGCATCTCTGAACAAAGTGAGTGGCATCCTTATACATGTTTGGCCAGTAATATCCCTGCCTTAAGACTTTGTGAGCCAGAGTTCTAGCACCAACATGGCTCCCGCACACACCTTCATGCACCTCCCGAAGTGCATACTCAGCTTCATAGGGGTTTAAACACCATAGAAGAGGGAGTGAGAAAGATCTCTTATAGAGGACCCATCAACGAGTGTATACCGAAATGCTTTCTTCCTCAACTTCATTGCTTCCTGCCTGTCCTCAGGTACTACCCCATCTCGCAAAAAGGAGATAATTGAATCAGTCCAACTTGGTGTGTCAGGGTCTGTGCTAATCTCCATTATCCGTGGCTTCATAAAGCTTGGTTCATCTAAGACCTCCACAAAAACGGATCTGGAACTTAAAGAGCTATCAAAGGCAAACTTGGAGAGGGAATCTGCTTGTTCATTCTCAGCTCGGGGAATTTTGCTCAGACAGAATTTCTGGAATTTGCATTTCAGCTCGGCCACCAAGGCTACATATTTCACCATCACAGGATCAACGACTTCGCAGATTGAGTTGATTTGGTTCACCACCAGCTGGGAGTCACTGTACACTTGAATTGCACTGATTTTCAACTCCAATGCTAACTGTAGACCAAGTAGCAGAGCTTCATACTCAGCCATGTTATTTGTTGCATCAAAATTGAACTTCAGGGCATGTTCGCTTCGGTATCCTTCTGGACTAATCAAGAGAGCGCCAGCTCCTGAACCCTTGCTACTAGATGCCCTGTCAACATATAAGGTCCAGTCGTTGGGTTCTGGATTAGGGATTGAAGGACATGGGGTGCATTCGACAATGAAATCTACTAGTGCTTGAGCTCGTATTGCGGATCTCTGCTGAAACGTTATCTCAAACTCCCCCAGTTCCACTGCCCACTTAATTAATCTTCCAAAGAACTCTGGTTTCTGCAGAATCTGCTGGAGAGGTTGATCTGTGAGAACGATAATTGGGTGTGATTGGAAATATGGCCTCAACTTCCTGGCCGAAGTGATAACTGCTAATGCTGCTTTCTCAGCTATAGGATACCTCAGCTCTGCTCCGTGTAGTACACTGCTGATATAATAGATTGGTTTCTGCTGCTTGGCTTCTTCTCGCACCAGAACCGAACTAATGGCTTCATCTGAAATTCCCAGATACAAATAAAGAATCTCCCCATCTA